CCATTTAGGGAACTGGGGTAAAAATCTGTCTGGGGATTGGTCCTGCTTTGAGCAGGGGATTGGACTAGATGACCTCCTGAGGTCCCTTCCAACCCTGATATTCTATGATCACAGTGGTCCCATCTGGCCTTGGAATCTATGATCAGAAAACTTTAGAAGCAACCTTTTGAAGCTCAGGAAAACAACTTGCCTGGCATGGTGGGTCACCCCTCTTATAGGGCATGGGTGCTTGAGCCTCCCTTCTATGCCAAACTTAGTTTCCTCGCCCATCAAAATGTTGGCAGACACTTCCTCCATAGGCTGGTATGTTTGTACGTATTGCTGACATAGACATGTATATTAATGACATTCGATCATTCTCACATTTGTTATTTTTGTCCTCCCAGTTATTTCGGTTCTTTCCTTGCAGTGTACCTGTTTCCAGAGGGCATGAGCTTAGGAAAGCCCCCAATGCCAACTTGCTTCAACGCGTCCTTTATCTCTCTATGTTAAAGGTTGCAGCCCTATATGGACCTTATGTTTTAACTCATCGCTGTCTATCTAGGTGAAAAGTCCCAGACATATTTATGCTAACTTTACCTTGGTTCAACATACAGGATGTCGCCTGTAGGTCCCTTGCATTGCAGCCTGTAGCTGGGTGGTCACCCCGCTCCGGCCCTGGGGGGTTAAAGCAGCCCTGGAGAGGGCTGCAGCTGGGAAAAGGTAGGCTGAGGGGAAAGCATTCACAGATGTGGCCAGCTTAATCAGGGACCAGCTGGCCCTTATAAGAGGGCTGTGGGCCAGAAACTAGCACACACACGCTCTCGCTAGCTTCAGAGAGAGAAGGACCTGGCTGCCTGGGAGCTGAGAAGGGTATCTGAGGTGGAGCAGGGCTGGGGAAGGGCAGAAGGAGCTGGGGAGCTCCAGCCTGGTAAAACCCCAGGTTGCAGGCCTTGCTAAAAGGGCCTAAAAAGGTACTGGGGCTGCAGAGAGGCAGCCCAGAGATAGGCCAAGGTAGCGGGTTCTAACCCCCCTTGCGGATGATGAGGGGTTTACAGACTGCGTCTGCCCCAGTGAGCAGGGGCTAGACGATGACTGGCAGTAGCCACTGAGGCAAGGTGGGGATAGAGGGTTGGGGGTTGCCCTGGGTGGGGAGACCCAGATTGTGGGTTACTGCTGGAGCAGAACCCTGACATAGAAGGGCACCGGGGTCCGGGAGGGACATGGGGGGCCAGCGGCAGGTGGGACACCGGCCTGCAGAGGGCGCTCCGGAGGCTGGAGAGCTAATTCCCTGGACAATCAGCAGGGGGCGCCGCAGCGGTGAGTCGTCAATCCGCTACACAGCCAAACTACTTTAATATAAACTTATAAACCTATTATCATAAAATAAACCATAAGAAACCTATAAGAAAAGATATATAAGCAAGCAGGATAGCTCTATAGGCTACAGACTAGAGAATATTCTCCTTGATCCTCCTTCAAATGCTAGTCTAGTTTTCACCAGTTCATACGGTAAGGGCCATCTTCACATCTTTAGATGTAACATCTGTCTTCTCTTTGATATGACATGGTGTTTTCAGTTCTTCTGCCTTAGAGGGGGTGGTGAAAGCAATTGTCTCTGTGTGTTTTACTGCACTGGTTCTCAAATTGTAGACCTTGATCTCCAAAGGAGTCACTGGCATTTGTCGTAGTCCCATTCCCTGTCTCTAGGTTTCTGGTTACGTTAATTTGCTTAATCAATGACATGTGTTGTTCCTCAGAAGCCCCAAAAACTATTCTAGTGAGTCCCATGGCGCCTCCACTGAAGTACCATGTAAACACGGGCAAAATATTCAGAGAAGCAATTGAGGAGGACTTAACTGTGAACAAATGTATATGAGATTATGCGTAAAACTGGTCGCAAATTTATTGACAGTGTTTTTCCATCGGAAAATGCCATTTCTTCTAAATCAAAGCTTTCTGCAGGAGCATGTGCTTTGGACGGAATTTTGTTTTGGAAAAAAATCAAAACAAAGTGTATTAACGAGATTGAAATGTTGTGTTTCCACATTTTTGGAATAGAATGTTTTGATTTTTCATTTGAAAATGACTTCTTTGTTTTGACATTTATTTTCCATTATAAATGATCACCGAATGTTTAGAAGTTGAAATCACAACACCATGGTTCAGTTTTATCTAAACAGAACATTTTAATTAACCCGTAACTACATTTTTTTCAAGAACTCGGTTTCCCTGAAAATTTTGGAATTTAACATTTTTGTTCCAATTCAGAATGAAAACAAACTTCAAAATAGTGGAATTTCCCACCAAATGGAAATTCCAGGTCCTGCAATAACCCTCCTCACAACATAATAAAAGTTGCAAAGCCCATGTTGCTACACGGGCAACTGGTGCCTATCATGGAATGGCCTCGTGACGGGGTAGCACTGGCTATATCACTACAACATGGTATTGAGGAAAGGATGGGGGGACCAAATAGTTCTTCAGAAGCATGTTTTCTAAGATCTATGAAATGTAATGAACATAGTTAATTAATAATACGTTAGGAATGAGAATTTATTATTCACTTCTAAAATCACGGTGTGAGTGAATTTAATGCATGAAAATGTCATGCATTTGCTTGAGCCCAATCTAAGGCTGGCAAGAGCTTAGTAAATTGCCTAGACAAAAAGCTCCTTGGATGCACTTCATCCCTGACCTCTGGCTCCCACTGCTATTCTAGAATCATAGAACTGGACGGGACCTCGAGAGGTCGTCTAGTCCAGCTCCCTGCCCTCGTAGCAGGACTAAGTATTATCTAGACCATCCCTGACAGGTGTTTGTCCAACCTGCTCTTTGGAATCTCTATTGATGGAGATTCCATAACCTCCTAGGCAATTTATTCCAGAGCTTAACCACCCTGACAGTTAGGAAGTTTTTCCTAATGTCCAACCTAAACCGCCCTTGTTGCAATTTAAGCCCATTGTTTCTTGTCCTATCCTCAGAGGCTAAGGAGAACAATTTTTCTCCCTCCTCCTTGTAACAACCTTTTATGTTGTTTCTGTTTTCAATAACTTGAAAACTATTCTCATGTCCTCCCTCGGTCTTCTCTTCTCCAGACTAAACAAACCCAATTTTTTCAATCTTCCCTCATAGGTCATGTTTTCTAGACCTTTAATCATTTTTGTTGCTCTACTCTGGACTTTCTCCAATCTGTCCACATCTTTCCTGAAATGTGGTGCCCAGAACTGGACACAATACTCCAGTTGAGGCCTAATCAGCGTGGAGTAGAGCGGAAGAATTACTTCTCATGTCTTGCTTACAACACTCCTGCTAATACATCCCAGAATGATATTGCCTTTTTTTTTTTTTGCATAGGCGTTACACTGTTTACTCACATGTAACTTGTTTCTATCACTATCACCCCCAGATCCCTTTCTGCAGTAAACAGTCATTGCCCATTTTGTATGTGTGCAACTGATTGTTCCTTCCTAAGTGCATTTGTCCTTCTTGAATTTCATCCTGTTTACTTCAGACCATTTCTTCAGTTTGTCCAGATCATTTTGAATTTTAATCCTGTCTTCCAAAGCACTTGCAACCCCTCCCGGCTTGGTATTGTCCACAAACCTTATAAGTATTCCCTCAATGCCATTATCTAAATCGCTGATTCTAGTCCAACACCCCCATGCAATTCTGATCATGTACCTTTGTCCTATTATAAAATAGCCCCTTCTCATTCTAATCTTATGTATCTCTAAAGCACAGACTGCCAAATGATTTCGTGATGGGGACAAGGCTCAAACTGCATAACTTCAGATGAGATTTGAATACATGTCTATTGGTGGGAAGCTTATTCATTAATAGAGCTGGGTAAAAAATTTCAACGGCAACTTTCTTTTGCTGGAAAATACAGATTAGTCTCAATCAAAATATTTTGTGAATTTGTATTGAATTCATTGAATTCTTTCAGTCCAAAAACAAAATAAAAACATTTTGTTTTGACATTTTTGAAACAAAATGTTTTGATTTTTTTTTTTTCAAATAGAAACAGCTTTTTGTTTGGAATTTTACGTCAATTTTATTTTTTTTAAAGACAAGCTCTTGGATTTGGCATATTTTTCACTGGGGGAGTGGGAATCCGAAAAAATCAAAACATTTCCCAAATGAAATGTTTTGAACTGAAAAATATCAAAACACCTCTTTGTTCAAATTTGACTTATATTTTAGGTGTGTTTTTTTTTTAAAAAGTTACGCTCAAACTAAATATTTTTGCTGAAAAATGTAACAAATATCTGTTTCGGGTCAACCTAAAACAATTTTTTTTCTCCAATATCTTGGTTCAGCCAGTGAGCCAAAAACCCAGTACAGTTCATTCATGAATAAGCTATGTGAATAACTATTGAAACTCCTTGTAAATTGTCTTCTTTGGCCAGCAGGATTAGTGAGATCAGTTCATGTCCCAGCTCTATCACAGAATCGTAGAATATCAGGGTTGGAAGGGACCTCAGGAGGTCATCTAGTCCAACCCCCTGCTCAAAGCAGGACCAATCCCCAACTAAATCATCCCAGCCAGGGCTTTGTCAAGCTGGGCCTTAAAAACCTCTAAGGATGGAGATTCCACCACCTCCCTAGGGAACCCATTCCAGAGCTTCACCACCCTCCTTGTGAAATAAGATAGAATCAAATGCTCTGATGTAAGACTGATTACAAATTGTACCCAACACTTGATTTTTTTTGTAAAGATGAGAGGCACTTTGCTTTACGGTGTCTTTGCTTTGATTCACAGGATACATGAATGAAGCTTAACGCCATTGCTGAATGGAATTAACTTCCATTAACGGAGACAAGATTTATCACTGCTTTGAGGAAGTGACAATTGTGGCTTTTTTACGGGAGCCAGTGGGAGAGGTGAACGAAACTCCGCTTTGTTGACTGTCAAGCCACAAACCCATTAATCTGTACAAACAGAAGCTTCAACTGTGAGTCCCTCTTGAACTATTCACTAACATTTTAAAGCAGCTCCAGCACGGGCCTGTATGAACATGCAGTCAAATTACAACACTCTTCATTCCTTGCTTGGGGTCTAGCCACTGAGGTGCATGTTTCTGATTCACTTATTTGGTGGTTAATATTTAATCTAATGGTGACTCATCAAGCGCTTGAACCTCAGAAGTACTGAGAATCAGCAACTCTGATTCAAGACCAACAGATCAAGCCCTAATTAGCGATGGAATTTATAAATACGGGGGCAGCCGTGTTCCAAGTTTTTCTCTTGTTATATTTGGAAATTAACTGTAGTGTTGGTGAAAGGGGCTGAATTGACAGTGCTAGAGACTGGCTTCCTTCAGCTGAAATACTTCACAAACACACACACAATCTACTGTACAGTCCCTTCATAGTGGTAGGAATGACCATGCAAAATGCAGGGCAATAATGAACTGAGCCAAAGGTACCACCTTCTTCCAACAACTCATCCATGATCATTAGGACCCTGGGACAGTAAGGAGAAATGTCTCCTGACATGCACTTAGGGGAACACAACCATCTGACCTACGCGGTGGCCTGGGCCTATGCATCTTGTGGGATGGTGGGCACTGAAGTAGCCCTGTGCTGGTTCTGCAGGGAATGTCTATATGTTGGAGAAGCTATTTATCCAGCCATTGACCACGTTGGCATGTACGGAATAAGGTAGGGAGCTTCTGTGGCAAAGACCTACCTTCAGCTGATGCCACGGGCAGTGTTCAATTTGTGGAGCGATGGGCCAGCCAGGGTGTGCTGAATGCTGATCCTCCTCTTGGGTAGGGTGTCCTCTGGGCCCGGCGTTGTGGTGACGGGCATGTCTGGTGGCACAGTGCAGCGTTGCCCATGTGGAATCCCCAGTCCCCTCCCTTCAGGTTTGACTCCTGCAAGCTCCATGTGTCCTGCGATTGTTCATCTGGGAAGACCTGCTTCCAGTGGCTAATGACAATCAATGGTGGCCCTGCTCTGTGATCATGCTCCATGCTTGGACCTGGCTGGGAAGTAGGAATAGACCTTGGCTTGGGGTCTGAGTCATGGAACAACAAACATTGTTTTGTGCTCCCTGAATGTGAAGTTCTGCTGAATTCAGCGAGGCCCACGTTCTCATGGTGCTGAGGCTCCCTCCCTGTCCCCTTCTAGGGGTGCAATGCTTCGAGGTACAGGCCTGCCCCAGACATAACTATAGTCTGGTCTCTGTTAGACATGATGTTGCATGGACTGATGCCTGGCACCGCAACCAATGCCTGGCCTGTGCCAAGCTCCGCTCTTTGCAGCATGCAGTGCCTGACTTTGCCCCACGGTTACCAACAGAGTAGACCGTGACAGGGCAGTGGCACTTAGAACGGGTTAGAATATGATCAGTGGTATGCCAGAGACCGCACTCTGAATATTAGCCAAGGGCTCCTGCTCACCAAGATGGTCAAAGCCTGAGTGCCCCCGTCTAGCTCTGTGAGAATGCAGACAGACGCTTCTGGACAGCTATGGGCAAGGCAAAGCATCACCCCCTCTCTGAATTCCACGCCTTAATAAACGTATGCCTGTTGTTAACTATGCCTGGGTCTGCTGGGTGTCTGTTCCTTTGATTCTGGGGTCATTGCCAGAAAGAGAAGTACCCAACCGTGACAGGAAGATTTACTGCCTATTTACAGCCAGCTTAAAGTTCCTCTTGTCCTATTCATGCCAACTAAGCATGTGTGTGCGCACAGCCCGAGTGGCAAAGGTTCTGCGGCAGAGCTCTGACCAAGGGTATTGAATATTCTCACTGTGAAACGTGTATTCATAAATCCTCCGCTTTTTCATCTGGTTAACTGCTTTAGTGGAAGTGGTCTGGCCTTCGGGTTTTGGGGACAGTTGTAGTCTCTGCTATGCTGAACTACATAGTGTATCCGATACTGTGGACAGCAATAGAGTTCATAGTATACAAAAAAAGCCTCTGGATTAAAAGAATATTATGAGGTTGCAAAGCCAAGCACTCAAAAGTTAGGAAATGCCAGAATTATGGTTGCCTTGTGCAACCTTAATTCAGTTCCCTTGTGCGTATACATTATGATACAGGGTTGAATTGCCTGATCACTTACTATTTTTCCATAGGTTACCCCACTAGTCCCTGACCTGCTAGCTCCCAGCCCTCCTCCCCTGCCCACCTTCAGCTCCCAGTCCCAGTCTCCATGCCTGGTCAGTCCCAGTCTCCCACCCCCCAATTCCAAGTCTCCGTTTCCCACCCCAAGGATTTCTTGTCCCAATCTGTTCTCCACGCCCCCCCAGGAGCACAGGAGAGGTTGTCTCCTTGCTTTCAGTTCCGCTGTCTGGCCCCAGACCCGAACACACCACTACAAGCCACAGCTGCAATAGCAGGAAAATGTGGTTGCGCGTGAGCACGCTCAGTGCCGATGAAATCTTCTTTTGCCGCCAAAAGCTCAGCTCAGCTCTAGCAAATCTCTGCTGAGCATGTGTGAGCTCTGATTTTTTTTTTCAGAGGCGTAGAACATGGCCAAATTTGGGTGCATTTTCATAAGGTGGCAAAGGGCACATTCTTGCCACAAAGGCCATCCCGCAGCCAAATGTCAAGTCCCTGCTCCAACGCTTGGGGGCACTAGAGCGTCTCAAAGAAGAGGTTGCCCAATGTTTTTAACACAGGCAGACCAAAGTGCTTTTTCACTAGCCTCATTCTTGGAAATGGCTGAAGCATCTTGGCTGAAATTTTCCAAAAAAATCGGTCTGAGGCAGACCCATCACGGGTCTTCTCGTGTTGACCATGTCAATGGCGAAGGGTATTAAAATCGGAAACCAACTCAGTGCTGGGTTTGTGGAACTTAATGCTGGGCAAGTAGTGTTGGTGGAGGTTCCACAGAGTCACATCCAGTAGTTGGATGAAAACAGAGGGAGGGACAGCTCAGTGGTTTGAGCATTGGCCTGCTAAACCCAGGGTTGAGAGTTCAATCCTTGAGGGGGCCGTTTAGGGATATGGGGCAAAAATCTGTCTGGGGAGTGGTCCTGCTTTGAGTGGGGGTTGGACTAGATGACCTCCTGAGGTCCCTTCCAACCCAGAGATTCTATGATTCTAATGTAGTTTGTGGTGGTGGGTGTGTGGCTTTTTTTTTTTTGAGGGGTGGGGGTAAGTTGGGGAATCCATATGGATGATAACATTCAGCTATGAACTTCATGCATGAATTTACTCTTGAGATTTCTCATTGCTTAATAGTTAAATCGTTAGTTAAGCTGGCTGGGAGATAAAAGCAGCCTGGATTTATCTAGTCTTAGGGCTGGTGTACAGTACCGCTTAAGTCGATGTAACTTACGTCGCTCAGGGTGAGAAAGACACCCCCCCAAGAGATGTAAGTTATATTGACTTAAGCGCTGTCCACACCGCGCAACGCCGGGGGGAGATGCTCTTCCACCAACATAGCTCTCGCAGAGGGGGAGTCGTGCCAATAGGAGAGCACTCTTCTGTCCGCATAGCGTGTCAATGTAGCCCAGTCGTGTAGACTTGCCCTGAGACTACAAATCACTCATCAAGATTTCTGGCTGTTTCCCGCTCACACAGAACACTGGGTTGGGAAGAGGGTCCTGCAGAATCAAGATTTAGTCGCTGTATTAAAGGTAAGGACTGTATCCACCTGAAATCCCAAACAGGGGTTAAAAATGTCTTCCTTATACCCTGTGTGTGGGAATTGGCTATATTGCAAACATAAGAACTTCCATACTGGGTCAGACCAAAGGTCCATCTAGCCCAGTCTCCTGTCCTCAGATAGTGGCCAGTGCCAGGTGCCCCAGAGGGAATGAACAGAACAGGGAATCATCAAGTGCTCCATCCCGATGCAAAAATGCATGGCTTAATGTACCAATGCAGCTCCACCAGTCCCACCACTGGTAGAAGCTGTAGTGGAGACAGGATGTGAGTGTTTTCAGGCAAAATAATTGTAAGCACATCGGAGCCCTGTACCCTGCAGCTTTCACTATTACTGTCACCAATGGAACTAAACTGGTGGGCACCTGTGGTGAACTGGGCGCATAACCGATTTTTCCAGTTTGCTGACAATTCTGACTCAAAACCTTTTGATTTTGTGAATTAACATATTTAATTAAATGTTTTGACTTTTTCAGAGTTTTTTAGCCAAAACAACTTGGCGAAACCGACACGAATTCACAAAATGCTGCCGAATCTGCATTTTATGCCAGAAAAATTTGACCACGCTCTAGCTATGGGTTGTGGTTTGGGCAGCAAAAATGCAGCCTTTCCTGGGACAACTTTCTTAGTAACCCAGGCAGTGGTGGGTTGATTTATGGTCCAAAGCAGGGAGTTGCTGTACTTAATATATTTTTATCCTAGCTAGTATAACTGTGGATATTTTAATTTCACACAAATGTCTAATCCTTTTTCTGAAATCTACTAAGCTCTTGGCCTCAATATCTTGTGGCAATGAGTTCCTCATGTTAAATACGTCTCATGTAGAAAATTATTTCCTCTTAACTTTAAAGTGCATACATACATAAATTTTGTTGCCTTTTAATTATATTTAGTTTCCTTTGTGCTCGTATTACCAGGGACACAGGGTAAATAGGTGGACTTGATTTACCTTCTCTAAACCATTCATTATTGTTACTTCTAGCATGTCCCACATTATTAATCTCTTCTCTAAAAATGAGGTATTCCTAGCAATCTCTCCTCAGATGGAAATCATTCCAAGACTCTTGTCATTTTCCAAATCTGATTTATACTTTCTGAGATAAGGTGACCAGAACTGAACATACTGTTTAAGGTGGGAATGTGCCATCACTGTCCATAATTAATGAGATCTCTACAATGACACTTGGGTCTTCCAGCAGATTTAGGATCCATCAATGTCGATGAGTAGTTCAAACTTTTTCTTCTAATGGGTATCACCTTGCACTTGGCTACACTTACTTTCGTCTGCCATCATAGAATCATAGAATATTAGGGTTGGAAGAGACCTCAGGAGGTCATCTAGTCCAACCCCC